ACCCCGCCCCGGGGTACATTCAGCAGATTTTACTCTTTTCAATTAACCTTAAATAAATTTGTCTCCGCTACAATTTCAAGAAAAGTTTCACCAACATCTTCTTTTTAAATAATGTGAGACTCGTTTAAGATTATTTAAGTTTCGAATCGTTGGATATTTTCTGAGATATCCAGGTTCAAAAAAAGTGCCGAAGGTACCCCGGTCTCCCCTACCTAGGTCCTTTAGGTGGTCCGTGATAAACCATGTGCACGAGTCAATTATGCACCTTGGTTGGGAGAAAGCTCTTAGTAAAGTGTATGATTACTATTGGTTCGAAAATATGTCCAAATATGTTCGTAAGTTTGTCGACAATTGCATTACATGTAAACTGTTTAAACCAACGTCGGGTAAAATTCAAGCAGAGCTTCATCCTATCCCAAAAATTGGTATACCATGGCATACTGTTCATATGGATATAACCGGAAAATTAAGCGGCAAAAACGATATGAAAGAATACGTAATAGTTCAAATCAATGCCTTTACCAAATTTGTTTATTTACACCATACTGTCAATATTGATGCTGCAAATTGTGCAAAGGCTTTGAAGTCGTCAATGTCGGTTTTTGGGGTACCTACACGTGTTATCGCTGACCAGGGTAGATGTTTTGCCAGTAAGGATTTCCGTGATTTTTGTTCTTCCCAAAAAATAGAGTTACATTTAATTGCGACCGGTGCAAGTCGCGCTAATGGACAAGTTGAGCGTGTGATGAGTACGTTAAAGAGTCTTTTGACCGCAGTAGAAACCAGCAAGCGCTCTTGGCAAGATGCATTAAAAGAAATACAACTGGCTTTGAATTGCACGGCCAATCGTGTGACTAAGGCTAGTCCTTTAGAGTTGCTTATTGGAAAARAGGCACGACCATTTGGTCTCATTCCAATAAGTAACAAGGAACAGAACGTGGACGTCTCTGCTTTAAGAACTCAGGCTTTAGAAAATATGGAGCGCAATTCTTGTTATGAAAAATCTAGATTCGATAAAAATAAGGCAAAAATTGTAAAGCATAATGTCGGTGATTATGTTTTGTTAAAGAATGAAGACTCCGCCGAGTGTGGTGGTGGATGTTGCTGAATTACGAAAAGTAACGAGTAGGTGTAATGGTTGTTGAATTGCGTCAGCGAATGCAATGCTTTTTGGAGTGTGGAGATAAACGGGTGTTTAGGGACTCACTGCGCAAATCAGTCCGCGTTACAATTTTAATAAAAAATAAAAATCGATAATGTCTTGCGAACGGAATGTCAACGGAATTGCGGAGGCCATTTCGGCATATATATAAGCCTTAAAACTTTTTTTATTACAATGGAAAATTTATTTCATATGTAACTAAATAATTACTGTAAAAAAAATATGTAGAAACAATGTAGTGAAGTGTAAGTGCATAAAAAATGCATAATATGAAATAAATTATTACTAGAAAACGAGAAATTGCAAGATAAAATTTGCAAAATTTTCAACTTTAAATGCAAATATCTCGAAAACTATAAGTTTGCGGAGGCAACAATTATATATTTTCTTAATCTAGAGCATCAGCCCTATCCAACCATACCACTTTTAATCCCCGAAATCGTGGGATGGTAAACTAAAGTTTCCACAGGATCATTTCAAAAGGGATTGTTCTATATTAAAAAAAAAAAGAGTATACAACGCCAGAAAAAAAAATTGGCTCATGTGGCAATTACGAACCAGAGAGGGAAGTTTTATATTTATCTTGATGCAAAATATGAATAAAATGAATGGCGATGCGTTATCATTCATTTGGGACCGACAGATGAAGGCAAGACAACTAGAAGTAAATGTCACTTTTAACACCTATGTATTAAATGCGACACTGCAAACTTGACGAACAGAATAAGTGAAAGACGAAGATAAAAAAAAAAACGGACGGTAGCCGTTACTTCGAAAGCAGAAACCTATCAGACCACCATTGATATTTTATTATCAATATAATTATTAAATAAATTTAATTAAACGAATTAAATCAAAACGACTTTCAGTTGATCGAAATCTACATTCATAACAAATTCTAAACCTTTTTACCAATCATGTTATTTTGGAATCACCAATTGAGTTTACAATTGCAATATACACCCGCGGCCAAGCGTAACTTACCATTAAGAAATTTCTAGCGAACACGTGTTCTATCACTCATTGTAACGGTACTTGTTGCGGTAATGGAATTTTTCCGTTAAGTTTTAACGAAGTGATCTTTGACTTACACAAATATAAAATATTAAAAAAAAAAATAAGTTGTGTCAAACATATATCAATCGTTAAGTCGGAAGGCATACAAAATGAGCTCCAAATACAAGCGACTGGCTCGCGATGAAAAAGTGGTTATTTTCACTTTGGCAGAAGAAGGAGTTTCATGTAGAGAAATTTCTAGAAGAATCGGCTGTAGTCATCCCTCGGTGCTCACTTTATTAAAAAAAAAAAGGAATCTGGAGGACCGCTTGGAGACAAAGAAAAGGACAGGTCTGAGAAGGAAGACAACCAGTCGAACTGACAGCGTTATACACACATCGGATAAGTCTTAAGGACCGATTCAAAAGTGCTGTGGAAATAAGGAGAGATCTTGAGCAGCAACATGACGTAAAAGTAAGCGTAAGAACGGTGCGGAGACGTCTTGCGGAGTTCGGACTGTGTGGTAGGAGGCCAGCAAAGAAGCCCCTTCTGACAAAGCAAATGAGAATTAAGCGGTTAGAGTGGGCAAGAATGCATAAAAATTGGACTCTAGAGCAATGGTGTAATGTCATATGGTCTGACGAAAGCAAGTTTAATTTGCATTGCGCTGACCACCTACCGTATGTACGGCGTTTTCTAGGAGAAAGATTTCAAGAAAATTGTGTGGTAAAAACAGTTAAGCACCCTCAAAGCCAAATGATCTGGGGTTGTTTTTCTCACTACGCACGTGCGCCTCTGGTATTTATCGATGGCATAATGAACGCAGAAAAATATAGGAAGCAAAATCGGTAATTTACGCTCTGAAATTGACTACTATTAATCCCTTCAAAATATAACCAAAAATAATAGAATGTTTTTTTATAATTCCTCGGATTACATCATATGGATTGGCCAGGAAACTCTCCCGACTTAAATCCTATTGAGCACATATAGCACATAATGAAGTGCAAAGTTGCTCATCCTAAGTCTAAAAGTAAACCAGAACTAAAAAAAATTTTAGACAGTGTTTGGGAGGAGGAAATTTCAAGCAATATTTTGGAGAAACTTGTTTGGTCAATTCCTGCTCGTATCGAAGCTGTAATATCCGCTAGAGGTGGACCGACGCCATATTAGATTTCCCGTTATTCTTTTTGAATATGTTGTAATTCCATTTTCAATTGAAACAAAAAATTTTGTTAAGTTATTACAAGAATTAGTAATAATGAAATCAAAGACTTGTGTGCAAATAAAAAAGTTGTCTCTATTTAATTTTACAAATGGGCCAGATTAAAGTCAACAGTTAACCAAATATATTCGAGCCATCTATATATTCACCGTATTCTATTAAATCCATAAAAAAAGTTACCCAAAGAACGAAAAAATTAAAAATAGTGAAAAAAAAAATCATGTGGTAAGTTACGCTTGGCCGCGGGTGTAAGGAGAGTACATAGATGTAATGTTGGCAACATGCTGCGTGATGCTGGAAAGCGGCAAACAACTTCACGTCTCGAGAAGTAAAGATAGTTGGGGAAGTAGACAACAGTAAAGAAGAGCAAACGCAGCGGATAATGTATTCTTCTATTCAGTTTATACCACTCATCTTCACTTTTATGGATTAAAAACATTTTATATCTAATAAGCATAATAATCACTTCTTACATACATGTGGGACCGACAGACGAACGTAATTCGATTCGAAGTGGACGTAACTTTAACCACTTACTACTGTTAAATGCGACACTGCGTAAGACGTATTTTATCATCATCTAAAATAATTTGTTTTAAAGTAAACCTAATTTAGTATTTTCAAATAAACCTAATTTAATAATTTAAAACGAAGCTAATGTGATTTAAATATAAACCCACATACATGCCACTACAATCGGAAGGCACAATACACAAGGCCCCAAAAACGTGTTAAAACCATTTACGATGGGTAAGAGAACATCAAAATTGGACTCAATTTGATTGGCAAAATGTAATCTTATCAGATGAGTCCAAATTTAACATTTTCTGTAGCGACGGTATGTCCTACGTGATAATGAGAACTAGTGAGCGATTCAAGGACGAATGTATTCAAAAACTGTTAAGCAGGGAGGCAGCCCAATGGTATGGGGTTGCTTTTCCTACTATGGCCTTGGGCAACTAGCCCTAATAGAAGGAACTGTCAATGGCAATAAGTATCAGGAGACACTTGAAAGAAATTTAATATCTGCAATGGAAACCCACTTTTCACGAGCGGATGTCCTTATTTTTCAGGACGACTTTGCGCCCTGCCATCGTGCCAAAATAGTAAATATCCATTTTTTTGTACAACTGTAAGGAATTAAAATTCCAATACTTTATGGTGAAATGAAACAATGGTCATCACTCAGCGTTCATAAAAGTTAAAAGTTTAGTATATAATTTGGAGCACTTAACTGAAGTGGAAAAGATGTTCGGATTGAAGACGTCATTAGGTGGAGAAGTTGGTGGATTAATTCAACATCTACCAGTAACAGAAACAAAGTATGAAGCCGCTTAGCAAATTCTCCTAGACTACTGGATCAACAGACAGCAAATGGAGCAGGTGCAGCAAGCAAGCACCACGAAACACTCGGAAAACAGCGACACTCCAGCACAATAGTTGAACAAACTATAGTCGCAAATGATACAAGAGATTTTGTAAATTGGAACACCTTTCCTAGTGGCTGGTTACCTAAACCTGTAAGGTTGGCACCCATCAAACATGTCAACACATTAATTATTTTTATATTTTGAAATTTAAATACACGCTGTTATGAGCAAAGTTAATATTATGTTGTCGATTCAAAAGTCTTGTTTTAATGCGTTCTTCAATTCGATTGGAACTGAGAGTACAAATACCGTCAAATGTTTGACAGAAAGTAAGTGGTGAACTTTTATATGGGAAAATGGAATTGTCGTCTTACTCTATCTTACTCGCAATTTTTCCTTATTTGCTCACCGTTTAGACCTACCCTGGACTACGACAAACATTTTAAAACCAAAATCAGCTCAATCGGCCCCGCCGTTCTTGAGTTTTAACCAGTCTGGTCGCACTGGTTCAAAGCACAAATTTCAAATATTTTCAACGCCACTGAAATTCGCATACTTCGTTTGGTTGATGTATGTATGTAAATTCAATTAAATTTCTTAGTTTAGATTTTTTACGCGCTTAATATACATATCTTAAAAATAATAATAATTAAAAACCGAAATTTCTTGAGTTCTAACGAAATTTTACGTTTAACGTAATTTTCTCGTCGCAAAAATCAATCCCTATCTTAGCACCAACTTAAACTTACATGCTAAGTACATACTTGGATACATGTAACATTACAATGTTATGTTGGTCGATTTTAATTTCTCATAGTTTTGTTTTTTCTGCAAACGCGTTTTTGCATGGAGGAAAAATGGTTGAATTGTGCGTTGGAAATCGTCGTTAGTGCAAAAATTAAATTTACGCTGATAAGCCTCTGAAGAGAAAAATATAAATGAAATTGTATGAGTGAATTGTACAACGCCATAGAAGTGCACTATTTATAGACGCTAAACACTAACCTTTCAATGCCTTAGTCACGCTCAATGTGCGTATAGCTGGCTTTTCTAATGTGCCTGTCCAGCAAAAATGCTGCGCAACGTGATCGCTCATTATGCGACGCCATGAGGCTTTCAGAAAATTAACAGAATTGTATATGTGTTGTGCGGTTAATTCAGTTATCTGCAATTAAAATTTCTAATATATTAGGAATATAAAAAATAATTATATTTAAGTAAAAGAAATTAAACTCACCAAATTTTGATATGCTTCTTCCGAGTTTTTAATCAATTCTTCAAACACTTTAAAATCTAACACCGAGTGGAATGGTGTTTCAGGTAAGACTTTTTTATAGTTCGTATACTGACTGCATTGACTTTCTTTGGAAGTTACGGCACTGTTTTGATCTTTAACAAAAATAATAATATAATTTAATTAAAAAAATAATATAATTTAATTTAAAAAAATAATATAATTTAATTAAAATTTATTGTATTATACAAAAAAATATAATAATAAAATAAGCATTTACTTCGGTTGCACCGAATCTTTAAACCCCTTTACAATTTGAAAATATATAAATACAAAAAATTTTTAAATACCTTTGACAAACGGTGCTTGCTTTATAATCGCTTTGAGTTCAGCAATCACTAAAAAATGCAAAATGTACGATTTAAAGTAAATAAAAAAATTTATTCATAAAATATGATATAGACATTATAGTTACCTCTTTTGGCCTCCTTGAGTACTGTTATTGGACTTGTAATAGTTTCAGATAGACTCTAGATAACAAATAAAGATTATAAAACTCATTAAAAATTATGAACTCTTTTATTGAGCTATGTAGTATGGCTATTGTTTTTAATTTCTTAAAATTAATGATGTGATTATTTGCTGGCAGTGATGCAAAAAATGCATTAAAAAAATTTAATTAACATTTGAATTCATTTTTGTTATTTTGTAATAACAAATATTTTAAATTTTTTCGGTATATTTTTTTTAACTTTTAACCCAAAAATACCCAATTTAAAAAAGTGTAACACCAGTTTATAATTAAATATTAATAAAATTGTTTTTAGCATTAATATCTGTCTCATTTGCGTAAGACTTGTCCTACAATTACGTTTGTCTTTTGCCAATGACAGCGTATTTTTTAAAAAAATGCCAACACAATTTAGCTCTTTTTGTTTTATTTATATTTAAATATAATATTATGACGTATTTTAAAGTAAATAAAAATATTTACTCTTGTTTCTAAAAACATATATTTAATACATATGATTCACAACCGAAAGAATATTCTCACAAAAAAAAAAAATATGAGAGGAATTTTTATTTAACCCAGCATTACTGAGCACAGCGCCTTTTTATGAACTAAATTTGTATAATCGTCGAATTTTATTGCATCTGGAAAGGAAAACTGTCAAGTACATGTAAAATAGTATGAAGCACTCATCCAACATAAGTTGTATCATTCCGAGTTTTTTGTTTTGAAAATATTATGGCGCTAAAACTGATGCATACTTTTGCGTTCGAGTAGACATTTGAAAGCTGGCAACTATTAATTTACATGCACGTTTCAAAAGAGTTTAATATAAATTAAAAAATTCCTTCTTACATGTCCTACTGCATTGCTGGATATATCGTGCTTAAAAGGACCCAATTCTTCTTTTTTGCTAGTTAAAGGCAATATATTTTGTTTAGACGCTTTTCTAACCATTGCTATTAGTTCATGCTGATGCGTGAGTACTTTGTCGATTTTAGCGGTTAGCTCTGGTTGTAAAAAAAAAGGTTACAATAATTTGTGGGAATGCAAACAAATATAATGTTTACCATCCATATGAAGTACACGCTGTTCTTGTTGATCTTCCAATTCAAGTTCAGCACTATTATTTAATTCTTGCGACATATCCAGAAATGGTCGCGTAATATTTTTTTTTTTTTTGTTTGCTTGTTGAGTTATGTTTTATAACTTGCTAGCACCAGTCTGATATTGTTTGGCAAATGAAAAACTTTTTACAAACAATATATTTATGTAGAATTAATTAACCGCCCATGCACAAGCTTAACAAATGGCTTTATTTTTTTGCTGAAAAATAGTGAAACATTTGTCTTAAATGAGAAACGAGTATACACACATGTGAACTTACTTTTGCAATAATTTTATCCAAGTTTTATTATGATTTAATTCACAAACTTGAAAAATTTACACACAACCGAAACGTAATCAAAATTTTTGACACGGAAAGAAAAAAAAATTAAGTTATAACACTGAAGTATTTCGAATACTTTTTTAAGTTAAGCGCGTTCTAATCGATAACCGATAAATGGAACAAACATAAAAAACGGCAACGTAAGCATGTTTCAATTATAGGTCGGCTATTACACGAAGCAACTTTTGTTGCTGATTCTGGCGATTCTCTTTTGCTGTTGCCCATTGCATTCTCACGAGCAACTTGTGTTGCGCAACTCTGTTCCAGTTTTTTTCTCATTCTCTTTCACATTACTTTAACCCATTGTCGTTTCTTTTTCCTTATAGGTATTTGGGCCACTCTATCACATATATTAATCAGTTCTGTCAATTAAGAAATACATTTTATTTATAATTCAAATTTAAAACAAAGGTTATGTAACAGATCTTCACTATCGTCTGAATCAATTTGTATTTCTTCCTCCATACATTTCACAATATCTTTAATTAATTCGATTTTTTCGTCATACTCCATTTCTAAAATATTTATATTATATTACGTATATTTGCATACATATTTGCAAATTACGTGACAAATGATGAAATTAAATTTTTTAAATATATTCAAAATATTAATTTCAAAATAATATACGCAAATGCAACTATGGACTACGAAAGAACACGAATGCAGAAAAACGTCGCAGCGAACTGTTACGAATAAGAACACAAAGCGAGTTGCTGCACACCGGAAACTCGGCGCGATTCTCCTCTCTTCGTCGCACCCTCGCCTATAAAACAAGAGTTGCCGCAACAAAAGTTGCTTCGTGTAATAACGAACTAGGTTGTGCCAATACGAAGCGTGCTTCCTCTTACGAAAGAGGTGCTTGTATCTATAATGTCAAATTACTTATTTGTTATTTTTTTTTCATAAATTTTCTGTTTACATTTTGACGATTTTGTGTTTTTAACACTTACGTGGCACCTCGACAGGCAATAGAAGATTTATCAAAATCTGTATTGCTAGCAATATTGCCAATGCAGACTGCATATTGCTTATGTTTACCAATAGTTGTCGAAATTGTCAGCAATGTAAATATTTAATTACTAAATAAATGGATCTTCAGTATAATTACTCAAATATTGAAGCCCAAAACAAATGAAATATTATTTCTCTAAAATCTACATTTTTCGAAATTCCATTGTTATAAATATAATATATTTTTGTCATCCTTATAAAATTTTTAAACGGTTCAAGAGCTGAGACAGCTGTATCCTCATGTGTTAAAATTTCTATCCAATATCCACCATAAAAACTGTTCGTGAACGCGTGCATCCCATCCCTTTTAAAAAACAGAAAATTTTGTCAAGGGAAATGGATATATAGACCTTTTCAATGCCAATAGACTTATTCGGGATAATCGTCCCACCGCCTACAATCGGTTTACTGGTCAAAGTAGTAATCTTCCACCCCGTGGGGATGTAGTAACTTTAAACCAAAAAAAAAAAGTAATAATATTTTTCTCTGTTGAGGAAATAAAATGATAAAATCTACACAAAAACTTTGAAAGCGCCAAAACAAAAAAAATTATCCAGGGGATTCGCTGGGAAGTCTACTGTAGAATTAAACTTCACTTCTGTTAAAATAGAGTAAAAACTATACTCTTTGATGAAGAGCATTGAATATTCCAGTGAAATAGTATATGGTTGAAGCATCGTCATTAATACATATCAAAAGAAAACGTGAGAGCTGTTAATGTTCAATGGTTGAACCGATTGAGGGTTTTTGTGAAAGGAAAGGTAAACATTAAACATAGAAATATTTAAATATTTTACTTACATGTACCGTGCGCCAATCTTCTAATAATGCACGAAATCGTATACGCGCACCAATATCACGGCCACATATATCTCTAACGTCTACCTCTTCTATATACTGCAAGTAATCTAAGCCAATATTCATTTCCTTCAATTTAGACCAGTAATACGCCAGTTTATGTTTGTTTAGAAGTTTTAAAAAATCATCATCATGCGTTGAAACTATTTCAAAAAAGGAAGTAAAATTATTTTATAATTTTTTTTGATTTATATCCACCTTTTGTTTTATCATCTGTTGTAGCGTCTAAAGGTATAGATTCCTCACTAATTTGACAACCATCATCTTCATCATCATCATCGCCAATATATGAATTAATATTAGTCTCAACTAATTGGATAGGATCGAGAAAACTACTATGGTCGTTATTTGAAGTTTCGGGCATATCATGCTTTAAAGCCAGTTCCCACTGTTGTTGCTCATTACTTGAAACCGACGGCATTGTTTTGACTCTTTTACACATATCACCTAGTTCTTCACTGTTCGTTTTCGTTGTTCCGTTTCGTTTTTCGACTCGACTGTTGGATGCGCAGTTTTCATTGGAGTTAATGGCACAGTCATTTCCAACGTCCATAATGTCAAGGGTAGGTTCAACTTTAACGTCTGTAGATAATGTGGCGATGTTGATTGAGTTCTGAGCTTTATCGACACTTTGCGCGTTAGTAGCATTTTGCATTCTTATATGAGATTCGGGTTTTCTTTGAAAACAATCTTCAGATATAGCGCCGATGCAACTTTTTGAATCGTTTCTAGGTATAAAATTCTGAAAAAAAAGGAAGAAAAAAACAAAAAAATATTTAATTCGTAAAAAGATCTTTATCTTAATTTCGATAGATCAGTTTGAGTGGCAGCTATATGAGGGTGATACGATCTGAAAAATTTGTTCGTCGATTATAGTGTTGCAGATAATAATCTGCACATTACATGTTGCTTTCTGAAATAAAAAAGTTTCTCTACAAAGACTTGAGTTTGATAGGTCAGTTTGTATGGCAGCTATATCCGACAAATGAGCAGTTCTTTGCAAGAAAATTTAATGTTCAAAATGTAAGATCGTTACCTCAAGACTTGTAAAGCTAGTTACTTTTAGTTGAAGTTTCTGTTCTTAACCTTTTTTTCTAAAACTATACTTGATTTTCAGAAATATTTCCAGTAATGCTTCGTTTATACAGTTTTTTTACATTTTTTTTTTTTTTCATGAATAACAATGTATAAATTATCTTGCAATTTAATGTATTGTGAGGGAAATAATTGTGTTATTACTATTGTACGCGCACGCTTATACAGTCAGTCTTTTTTTCAATACTTCGCCTTAAGAAAGTACAAAACATATGTATGTATGTACACATTTAACCTATCTGCCACAATATATAATAATATTTGTTCACCTTTTGATAATCTCTTCTACGCCGCACTCGTCGAGCAGCTCTACTTCGCCCATTGTTGAGGTCTGCTTTTTTTCTCGGCATTTTCTCATAATTATGCTTCGTTGCTTATGTTGTGATATTTAAATTATTTATTTTCCTTTTTTTAATAAATAAGTTTTTCAAAGAAGGACCATTTTTTAACTAAAACCGTTAAGTAGTTTAATTTTTAACTAAATAATACCTTATGTATTAGAGGAGGAACAGAGAAAAACGTTATCTATGGAAAAACATTGCTCCCTTTCTCAGTTGCCGTAAGTAGAATGCAAAATGTGTCAAAAGTCGAGCCGGTAAAAATCAGCCATCTTTGTTTTGATTTGAACAATGTTGCGTATATGATTATTTACAAAAGCTTTCAAACTGTTGGCATCCGATATATATATATTATCAATATCAAATCGATAGTTAACAAATTTATCGATTACATCAGCTTTTCCGACCAGTTGTAATTAAAACAGAATTAGTTCACTAATTTAATAAAATATATTAGTTCATAAAAAATAGTACTATAATAAGAGAATTGAAGTTAAAATATGAGGTAGGAGAATGAAAGTAACCGCGTTTTCACTATATACATATTTAGTGTGTTATTGGTCCAGTAATAAAATATACGAATAATTCATTATGATCTTAAATTTGATTAATTACCTTTAACTTCATTTGCAAAAGTTTAGTTTTTAGTCTGGCTTCCTTTAGCTCCCATTTGTGCTTCTCTACAATTAATTTGTTCTTTTCGAACTCCCATCTGTGTTTTTCCGCTTCTCTTTTGTTTCTTTTACAATCCCAGCGATGTTTCTCGACAGATCGCAAATCGTTTATATTATAACATGGTTTTAGATCAGGTTTTCGAGAAGATTTGATTTTTCTACTCTGTGCCGAGTGGTTTGAATTTGATGACAACCACTTGTGTTCGCCTTCCTATCATGTTAATATTCATTATTTTAAAACATAATTTACTTATACAAATATACCTATTGATTTACATATATGTGATTTTGCTCACCTTTTCAACAGTCTCGGAATCCTGAATCGGATCGTCAAAACTACATCTCTGCGCTGTATCATTAAAATTATTATTCATTACAGGGTCAGTCCCAAATGAGTCTGTGAAAATAAATAAAATTTATACAATTTTATATTAAAATCTTAAAATTTTGACATACAAATTAGTTTAATCAGTAAATTACTGAAAGTTGCTATATAGTTTAAATTAAATTAACTCACCATTGTTTTCGACATCATTTGAGCTACAGTCTGCTGAAAATTCTATAATAGCTGATAATTTTTCAATATTTTCATCAAATAACAACTTTTGAAATGTTTGTTCATCATCGCTTCTGTCTTTGCTTTCCATTCGTCTTAATTTACGCTTCAAATTATCATATTTTTCACGTAGATTTTTAGATCCTCTTCTAAAACCAAACTTATTACCAAACTCAATATCAATATTTTCCCATGCTTTTCGTTTCTCCTCCCAAATCTGCGCATCAGTTAGTTTACTTTCAATTACGTTAACGTATTTATGTGCCAGTGATAGTAAAAAACTTTCTTCAGCAGGTGTAAAATTCGGTAGTCTGTTTCGTTTTTGCTTATGGGTCATTCTCTTGGGTCTTGTATTAGATGCTGCAACAATGGATATTAATTTCAAATACTTTGTTGCTATGGCACGTTATCCTTTGTTCTGCAACATATAACAACGCTATCATTTTACTACTAAACATAGGTATGTTGATTATAAGGTTACGTTATCCTTACTTTTTTGTTATAAGCTATTCCTTTATGATTTAGATAAAATAAATAAGTAAGGCGCAAAAAAAATGCGTCTAGATGCCTTTAGACCGGTAGTCACTGTGCAATGCCGCTTATGGGCAGCTGCTGTTAATGCGTTAGACGCATTTCAACAGTAAATCACAATTCATAAACTAGTCAAGTTATTAATTTAAGTCTCTGTCTACTTTTAAACTAATATTTATCCTATTATTTAAGATTTTTGTGAACGCAAATAATTACAATTCACAAATGTGACTTGGGCACGCACCTCCTCACCGGTAGTGTTGCCAGATATAATTAGGTTATTTTCAAACGATTGTACCGATTAATTTTAGGTTCTACGGAGGCATTTTTCATTTTAAATTTATGATTTGAATAAATAATAGCTAGGACTAATTAAGTTTTACATTCTTTCCTATTCTTTGGCGTATTTTTTGGTTATAATGCTCGAAATCTCTATTTATAATTAATTGAAAATAAAAACTGTACGATAATAAAAAACTTCAAAGGCCGGGCAGCACTGCAGCGTAAACAAATGCGAAAAATTGAACAAAAGAGGCTTAAAATTATAATAAAGCTGTCAAAGTTGTTGATGCATACACTTTTTTACAACACGCAGTTTTTATAGAAGTAAAATTTAACAGAAAAAGTTGAAATAAATATAATAATTAGCTTTTTAAAGTGAAATAAACTTAATATGAGTACTAGCGGTGATTCACAACCATATTTGAATGATTTTATGATGCGGGACGATGAGGATGGCGTGTCAGGCGGTAAGTATTTGCTGTATTTGTTCACAACTGAATGAAGAAACAGAAAATTACAATATAAAATGTTATTATATGTAGATGATGAATCAGATAACAAGCATAGCGGCGGAAATTATATGCTACGTGAACAGGATCGCTTCCTACCCATTTGCAATATTATAAAGATTATGAAGGTGCCTGTACCAGAGAATGGTAAAATCGCTAAAGACGCTCGAGAATGCATACAGGAATGTGTTTCCGAATTTATATCCTTTATCACATCGGAAGCCATAGAGCGTAGTATAGCAGAAAACAGAAAGACCGTAAATGGTGATGATTTATTGTATGCGTTTGCCAATTTGGGTTTCGACAACTACGTTGAGCCATTGTCTATGTACCTACACAAATTTCGTGAGGTAAGTGGATGTTTAACATGAAGTATATGATATAATTAATTATTTAGTTTACTGTCTAGTCAACCAAATCGGATCGTAATTTATATAGTGAGACAAATATGCTGCAAGATGACTCTTCAACTGAATTTCGTAAGACAGATCTGTCGTAAAAATAGCGCTTACCCAATTATATATAAATATATTTATTTAAATTGTTGAATTGGATTTTAAAAAAATAACATAATACTGTTAAAGGCAACACTACATAAGTTTACACAATGTAAAAATGACACGCATGTACACGCAATCATCTACAGCACCTTTATCTAGCAGATTATGGCTAAATTGAGTTAAACATGCACTGTTCTATCACCAATAACCATTTACACATATTGAGTTTCAAAATTTTATATTATTTATTAAAACAAAGTTCTATTAAATTAATTCAAGAGTGTGTGTATATAAGTTGCGATGTTTATGTGAATGCTATATCTAGTAAGTTTAAAGTACAAAACAAAAAAAAAAATTTCTACAGCAATAAATGCGGACAACAGTAATACAACCATCATAACAACAAAAGCAATGACAACACATACTGGTGCATTAACAATAACAACAAATGCTATCAACCACTGTACTGCATCTGTAGCCAACACTACTAACACCTCTACGGATGTGAAATTATTTGAAATAATCGAAGCAAACCAGCACCAACAGCAAACACATCATCAACAACAGCAGCAGCGTCAACAAAATGGTATTCATAGCATCACTATAACTCCAACAACAACCACATCAGCTGTGCCACTTAATTTATTAAGTACCGGTTGCAATCAAACAAGCCCGTTAACTCCAGTTGCTACATCCAATACACTGAACACAACAAAATTAGGCTCTGTACGTCGGTCGGCACGTCTACAAACTCGTCCTACTCAACTGCCGATAGTCACAACAGTGGCGAACGAAACGCCTGGCGCTATAATGAATGCAGATCAAATGATATTCTTTGATGCTGATGAATTGCATCAACATGTTTTGCAGCAACAACAACAACAGCACCATGTTAATGGCAATAATAATTATATGCATATGTAGAGCATAATTAAGCATTGATATTGTCGATGTAACGAATTTATTGTGGTCATTCTGTTTTAATTGCGTAAGTGGTAGAAGCTAGAACGATAAATTAGAGTGAAAAGCCTGGAAAAGCGATGGTTTCATTTATAAGTGAAATATTTTTGTTCGATTTGAAAAAAAAAAAAATATATATATATATATATATATGTAATTGTTTTAAAGTGTTGCATAATTATATTATAATTTTTTACTTAAAAAATTCTCTTCAAGAAGAGAAGTTGGGGCGATAACCATGTACTTTTCTATAGTTTTGTTATTTATAATTTTCTAAAGTGTGTTTAGGTTATGGTTGAGACAAATTGTGTGTTGTCGCAAAACTAATAAATATTTTGTACGCAGCGAACTTCATTTTTAAAAAATGAAAATATTAACTTTAGTTATATTCAAAATAAATATATAAATATAAATATTTTGTTTGTGTTCTCTCAAATTTACATAGAAATGTCGGGTCTACGCAATATTTTCTGCCACTACAGCAACAAGAACACCGCTACTGGAGTAAAACACCACCTAGAAAGCCGTTTTATGTAGAATTTATCGTTGAAATACTAATTTGGGTGGCTTTAAAATGGTGTAATACAAATAACGTGATGATCAAGAAAAAACCTTAACTTCAATTGCAGCTAGACTACTACTAGAATACCTTTCATAAATTAACTTTCCCTACAAATGCTTTGTTGCTGTTATTGTAACGGTTATCCAAGGTAGAAGTACTTAAATTTAAGCGTTCAGTTTGTCTGGCACTTATGTATGTACATACATGCTAAAGCGTTGCGAAATCGGCGTTTCCGACAAATGAGCGGCGATTTATGAGAGCTGAGCATGTGCGCAGCTTCAGAAGAGATATTTCAAAACCTTGGGAACAAATACGCGCATGTGTAGACGGACAGATGGACATGGGTAACGCTGTTCAGTTCCTTTGGATATATGTATACATTTCTTATAGCAAACCTCAACATCACACAACGGGATTGAATGCGAAGTACGGATCATGAAAATATATGTACTACTAAACTACAAGAACAAATCAAACTTCTCATACCAAATAGTTATTTTTAAATTTATAAACAATTTATTTCAAAAAATATTTATTATCCTCTGAAGACACTTATCTCTAAAGTAAATATATGCATGTGTGTGTGTGTATCTATAAAAAAAAAACGCACGCAACTACAAACTAGCTATACTAAAGTGTGAGTAATTGTTACACAATATAATAAACAATGTGGAAACTTAATAGCTACAGTTTTTTTTAGTAAGAATTCGCAATATTTTAGCATATCGAGTAATAGTATAACGTATTAGCTTCGCAAAACATAATTTTCATATACAATTTCAGCATAACTAGTATATACACAATCGAATTCGTTAACTACGAATCATATAACAATTCAATTTAATTAAAAAGATAAACAACTATTTGTTATTTGTTTTGAATTTCCGATAAAACCTCTGGTAGATCAACAGTATCAGCATTCATGTTATCATCACCTTCAGCAACATCATCATCATCATCTGGGTCGGCCGGTTGCGGTTCAAACACGACGCGTCCACGTATGACACGTACGCGTGGACCAATCGCACGCGTATTTAATTCAAATTGACCACAAGTTTCTGGACGTGTGGCACGATGCATACTTAGACCGCTGATACAGGAGAATTGTTTGTTACAGCCGTAACATTTGTAACGTTTCATGCCAATGTGGCGCGACAAATGTGAAATGAGCGTTTCCCGATGCGTGAAACTTTGTGAGCAAATCTAAAAGGAGTGTATATGTTAAAATATTTTTAAAATAAATCAATTACGGTGTACGTTATTTTGCCGTTAGACGTTTGCAAAATACAAGAACAATTAATGTAAGAAATAACGAACATCTCAATGTATATGATACTAACCTCGCAAACGAATGGACGTTCGCCGGTATGCGTGCGATGATGTACAGTGACTTGACCGCGTGTGCGAAAACGTTTATCACAGTAGTTGCACTTATGCGGCAATACGCCGGTATGTATGGTGCGATGACAATTCAGCGTGCTGGTCGAGAAGAAAAATTTGTGACAAACATCGCATTCGTGTTGTGGATTGCGTCCACAACTATTACGTAAATGTTCCCTGATCATTGAACGCGTTGAATAGCGGCGGCTACATTTCGGACAAATGTAACCTTCAGGATTAACTTTGGGTTTGCTTCTGCACCGATTGCGGGTTAAGTGTGGTGAACGTGGTCTTGGTGGCAATTCTGTGATTATTATTTAGTTAATGAAGCACTGAAATATTTTTTAACGATTTTTGTTTTTATAACATACCTCCATCTTCTCCATAAATACGTAAGGATGTTGCATTGCTGCTACTGTCGCTAAAAGTGGCTGCCGATAATGCATCATCGTATTGTAGCGTTATCATATCCTCATCGAACTCAGTTTTAATATTCTCGGTTTTTATGTCAATATTTTGTGCTATCATTTCATCATTTTCCTCGCTTTTATGCACTATCACATCATTTAGTAGTTCCGTTAAACTTATTTCTGTATTTGTTTTAGTTACCGATTCTAGCTTAGCGGCGGCAACCACTTTATTCAACGGTGGCACTTCAACTTGTTGTATCGCAAATTGCCTACTGTTAGTGGCATCCTTTTGCCAATTAAGTGGTGTTTCTGACATTGACACGCCCTTTTCAATTTTGGCTAGCAATGATACTTGCGGCGTGGTAGCCTTGGGCGGTGTACGCTTTGTGTTTGCTTGCTGTAAGGGATTGTTGATGGCCAACTTAACTAGAGTCGGTTGCGTATCTTTGGGTAACATCTTTACAATCTTGAAATTCGACGATAATTTTAACATTTTTGGCATGTGTTCACTTTTCGTTGAAACTTTTGCGGTTTGTGTCGCATTCGTATTTCTTTGTTGTAATGCCACCGATGATTTCAGTAACGATTGAGGTGAGGTTGTGTGTGACGGTTTTTTAATTTTTTCTTCGCCTGCCTTATTTGCTAAGTTAAAGTACTTTGGCACACTTTTAAGAGAGAATTTGGAGGTAATACGTTGTGCCAGTAGGTGACTCAAGGGATTTGTTTTAACTTCTT